AAGGCAGATTGTATGAGTATGGAAACACAAAAGGCAGAGCATTCCACAGTTTGGTTGTGTGAGGAAAGGAGGATGTACTATAACGGGTTATTCTAGTGTGACCGACATCCACAGAGAAACGGTGGGCACCGCGAGCAAGACAAGTGTTACGAGCCCACGGTCTTGCTGGTGGTACACATGAATTACCCCCCAAAATTTAAATAAAGAAATGGATGGCACGTTATAATAATCATTAAATAAGGGTCCTCATCTGTATTACTCTTTCAAGCATGCAAACTTTAAGATAATATAATGAAGAAAAATAAAACTTACATCCATCCTTCCTTTCCTTCTTTCATGAATTTCCCAGCTTCCTTCAATCCCCTCCCTCTCTGATGAGCAATTTGCATTTCACACCATAACCGCCCTCCAAACAGCCCTCCCTAAGTCAACCATTCCTCCTCTCCACCCCACGTGACTTACCATGCAGAAAGGTCCTGGCCAGGAACGGGTTAGGTGGTGGATGATTACTTTTGACTGTGACATAAGATACAGTAGTGTATTGTTCTATATAAATATTGTATACATACAGTATACCAAGTATGTGAAGAACCAATATTGGGTTTGGCCAATGTATGCCATTTGGTGTAGTATTATGCACAGTATTGTTTTATTATATTACTGCATACCACATGTATTGATTCTTATTGTCTTGCCCCCTTTCCTTCTTTTTGTCGAGATCTTTACCTCTTGAACCATCCCGCATAAAAGTGGGGGAGAAGTAGAGATAGCATAGTATAGTACAGTAGATAGATAAAATACATTTAATGTATTAACTGCTGAATGTGGCCATATTGTGGCATTAAGAATCACATTGTGATATGCAACAATTATCTAAGCTCCCACAAAAGGGGCAAATCCTTCACCTTTGTTTATACCAAATATGCAGAATGTGTTGGCCATGTTTGAAATCACTGATGATGTTTCAGATATAAATGAATATTTAGAGATATTCTACAATGAGAAGTACAGTATTTGAACTTTTGCTTTGAATGAATCAAGTAGGTTTTGTGATACTGTACATATACGTACTGTATTGATGAATTTAATTATTGTTAAAGTATTTATATATTTTTATCTGCATTACAGTGAAGTTTTATTAGCATTAGTTTTATGTGTACTGCATTACACAGTATTCTAATATTTGTCAGAATAAAATTGGATATGTATGAAAATTTGATATTTTTCCTATGTCATTGTGGGAATGTTTTTGTGTTATTTTCAATGAACTCATTTTTAAACCACCACATCTTGGTGATATGGTTCCATGGCATAGTGTAAGGTCAATGCCAGGCCTTTCCCTTCACTTGTGAAGTTTTTATGTGGAAGGAAACACCATGACCTCTTGCTATAAGAATTGGTATATATCTATTTTGTACGTAGTACAGGATATAGTACTTTACCGATTTTTCAATGCCAGGTGGAATTTTAACATATACGTACGTGTTGTCTTTTGTCATGTCTAAAACCAAATATTTTCATAAAATCCAAATCATGTCTTATTTTCACCCTTTCTCCAGTTGTAAGTTATAGTTGTGAATCCTCAGGCCAAGTGTTATAGGACGTTATATCAGTAGCTTTCAGTATGTGCTCTGGTATGTCATGTGATTAATGTATCACTAGAAGACTTATTTCTGGGACTCGCTATCTTTGGACCCTAGCCAATCCTATAGTTTCACTGAGAATTTGGGATTAGTTTTAAGCCCCATCCACACGATCGAGCACTGCCCGACGGGCACTCGCTTAAGGCCCATTGTTCGGGCAAAATTGACGGGCAAACCAACGGAGTGCCCGTGGTCGAGCGAAATCACCAGATAAAGCCGTCTGCCTGGTGGTTTGACCGTTTGCTGCGAGAAGTCTATAGAAGGTGTTGGGGTCCATTCTCATGTAGTTAGTGAAGTCTTTCTCATGTTCACCTTGCAGTTCAAGTAAAATCGTGGCATGACTTCCCTTAACTTTTCGTTGAGATAACCATTCCTTGCACCATTCCCTTTTTTGTTTTTTCTTTTTTTTACACACTAGCAATTATTATACACAGCACTATAGTCTTCGATTTAACTGTCCTGCGACACACCATGGTGATCATACCGCAGCAGCTACTGCCGACCACCAACTAGCTACCAGCGGCAGTGTGAGACTGCTGCCAACCAGCACCTCCGTGTGTACAACGACACACAGGCAAAGTCTGCTGGGCACTGTTCGATCGTCTGGACGGGGTTTTATACATCTTTCTTCCTGAGGCATTGTCAGTTATGGTCAATTTATTCCTAAAAGAAGAAATTTTTACATTAACCCATCTCAATTTTGTGTTTGCCCCTTTTATCTTAGTGGATTTTTTTTCTTCACAATAGTTGTCATTGGTGTCAAGGAAGGTGAATTGGGTTGCAAGTCAAATGGGCATCAATCCTAAATATCTACAACTTAACTTAACTTAATTCAGATGGAGCCTTTTGTGGAATTATTGTACACTTATTAAATCGTGGCTTAAGTTTTACAGGTAATGGCTAGATCTGGTTTTAACATATAAGGTCTGTTAGGACTGGGACCCATTTGACCAGTCACATGTGAGGTTGAAAATAATTAGCGGAATAATGGAGTTGGTCATGAACGTATTCATTTTGGTCATACGTATGTATATACTATTATATATCCAAAGTGAAAACATTTGCAGGAATGCAACTTCATTATTATGCACGTACAATGGTGACCTGTGTAAAAGTCTGCATGCTCGCCGTGCAAGCGAGTGGTACTAGGTTCGATTCCTGGGTTGGGTGAAATTATGGACAAAATTCTCTATGCCATTTGCTTGTCTGCCCAACAGCAATTGGGAACCTGAATGTGGATCGTTTTCTGGTCTTCTCAGACTATTCCTGGACTTGTTTACTCAAGTGTGTGGTTGTGGTGTTGGCGACAGCTTCTACATTCCTAAACATATTGACGCCTAGGTTGCCCTTGGGCTAGCCATCCTTATACACGAGGGGCAACCATTATCTATTATATATCGAGCTTTTGGGTGAAAGTATTTTGGAAGAATTAAGAGAGGTTATAGGGCATCCATATTTTGGCTTGAAGACCACTAAAGCCCCGTCCACACAATCGAGCAGTGCCCGGCGGGCTTTGCCCGTTTACCGGGCAAAGCCTGTGTGTTGTTGTACACACGGGGGTGGTTGGCGGCAGTCATAGTCGGGCGCCGGTAGCTAGTAGGTGGTCGGCAGTGGCGGGTGCGGTACGATCACCATGGTGTGTCACAGGTATAATCGCCGGACAGTTAAAGCGAAGAGCATAGCGTTGTGTACTATAATAGTTGCTGCTATGTGCAAAAAGAAGAACCAAATGCAGAAAAGGGGTTGGTGCAAAGAGTGGTTAGGTCGGAGAAAAGTATTGGGGAGTCATCCCACGATTTTATGTGAGCTGCAAGATGGACATGAGCAAGACTTCACCAATTACATGAGAATGGACCCCAACACCTTTTACAAACTTCTAGCGAAAGTGGAACCATATATTAAAAAAACAGGATACCAATACGAGGGAGAGTATATCTGCAGAGGCAACGCTCATATCTTTCAACTGGGTGCACCTACACGTCACTTCAGTATAGAACGAGGATATCAAAACAAAGTTTGTCTCGCATAATACCTGCACCTTGTCAAGCCATGTATGAAGTACTCAATGAAGATTACTTGCAGGTGAGATTTGTAGTACATAAAAATTTATTGAATAATGTTAGAATTATGATATGCATAGACAGGAAGCTATGGGACTAGAGTGAGGAGAGCGGCAGGAACGAAGAACACACACAAATGTCCTCATTACATAATACATAAACACTCCCATTTGTCACGCCAATAATGTACATTGCATAAGCTTATTTGGTTATACACTGAACATATGAACTGAGCGGGGGAACATAGACGTGTCACATTTGCAGTACTTAACTCGGGTTTTACAAAGTGCTAGCATACGTTCTGTCAGTATCTCTGTTCATACCTCACCGACTTGAGGACCCGAGGTCAGCGGTGGCGTATTGATCAGCTGTTATTGACAGTCACGTGAGGTTCCAATAATAACACGAGTCTTGTATTGCAGGCTTGTGTAATGTTAAATATTAATGACAATATTATAGGAATGTCGGTTTTCCGGTTTTATCGTTTGTCTGGCAGAATCTTCGCTCCATATCAGGCAGCAAACCACCAGGCAGGCCGACCACGATTTCTCTCAACAACGGGCACGGGCAATCCGCTAGTTTGCCCGTCAATTTTACCGGATAACGGGCATTTAGCGCGTGCCCGCCGGGCACTGCTCGATCGTGTGGACAGGTCTTAACACCAGACCATAACTGAAAGTGTGTTCTGTAATTCATATTTTTTAATCACAGTCCAGTGAATTTTTTCATAATGTATTTCGTTCTATCACATCCCTGTTTTTCATACCATATCTTGGTCCAAAATTTACAGTTTTCAGGAGGAAAGGAAGCTAGTGAATATTTTTTTTTTTTAAATTCCCTTATTGTCTAATATACAGTGTAAGTGAAAGATAACTCCAGAATATCCAGAGAACACTTTTCTCACATCTGTCCCAGGCTGGGAATGAACCTTGGATGAGGATCATACATTACAGCCACATGGCAGGGCATGACTGAACTAAGGTACTAACTTTTGCATTGCCTAATAAGGTATTCTTGAGATTAGAGCAGATTGTGGGGGTTATCAGATCCAAGTTTCAAAAATGCAAATTTGAGAGGTTAAAAATAATGAAAATGGAGAATAGTATACAGTAGTCAAGCCAATGCAAAATCAACATGCAACTCCAAATAAGTTTTACATGAATCGGTTTTGAACATCGATTCTTTAATAACATTCCCATAAACTATTGAACATTGACAGGATGAAGAGAGATTACATTACTTCTGTTTAGGGAAAACACTGGACATTAAACTTAACAGGTTAATGAATGTTCTATTATAGTGTGATCATGAATTTTAAAGGACTTTAACAGCATTTATTTACATACATGTACACCCTACTTAAATAATAATTCAAATACATCTGGTCCTTCAACTTATGTCCAGTGACATTTGAACAAGACTTCTTTATTTGCCTCTGAGGCAATGATGACATTTCAGCATTGTTATCAGGTGCTTTTCCTCATCTCTAAAATTAAAATGGATGTCATTCACTTCAGCTTCTTGAATAATGATTGTGTTAGCTGAAAAGAAATAGACTAATATTAAAAATACACAGACTAAGGATACAAGCATATTTAAAAACTCCCCTTTGTCCATTAATTTTAATGTTGCTAAAAATTTATTTTGGCTATTATATTTACAACTCTTTAGTAATTACACAAGAAAGCGAGATTCTTATTATCTACTGTTATGGATACATGATTTTATCAACATTCATATGCCGAACCACAGGAGTGTTTGTTTTGACCTTTTGCGTGGTAGCGTACTGTATCACGAATTATTCATAATGCCTCCCAAGCACTCTTCTCCTGCCTCATCTGCGAAGAGGCCTTGTGTGCCTGTGCCGATGACCCAAGACCCTCTTCACCCCAGTAACTCATCACCCTCTCCTTCTCGTTATGCCGGCTCCAGTACACCATTACCACTCACAGCAAAGGTAAATGTAAATGTTTATACTGCACACACACACACACACACACACAGTGTTCTTTTATATTGTTCTTATGGTATTGTGGTTAATTTATTGGAGTATATTGAGTGTACAGTACCTGCAGTATATAAAAAAATATTTGGTCAAGTTACCAGCTGGGAACATATTCCCACTACTTACCGGTACATTAATTCTTATGGGAAAAATTGCCCCGATATTCGCAGACTTTTAGGAATGCATCCTTTGCAATAACCAGGGTATTCCTGAATATTCATACTTACACAATGGTCAACACAATGTAGATAATCAAAGAGTTCTTCAGAGCATGTTTCTTCTGTTTTGGTACGAGAACCAACTCGATCATTACATGTGGATAACCTCTCATTCAGTGCTGCACAGTGACTAGTATTCCCACAGGCTTCCTTCATTCCATCCAGTGGATCCTGGAAGAGATGGATGATGATAATATAAAGGAATTATTAGTAATAGCTACAATAATATGAATACTGTAGTAATACAGTATTCATACTTAACCCCAAGTCTTCCCCTCCAAGGAAACAAGGTCATTACATCATACCTCCCCATCTATTACATGCATTATAACTGAATTTCAATACTATATGTACAGTATTGAAATCCAGAAGTCTACTTAAAAAAAAAAAAAAAATTAGCATCTTTCCGATAAATTTCACTTTAAAGGGTGGATAATAAAGATATGACCTTAATCTTTACTCAAAAGTTGTACTGTAACACGAGCAGATAATATTTGATTAATATTTTCAAGTTCAATTTAAATTTTGTTGATGGTGAAAGGTGGCAGTAGCCTGTTTAATCCCCATTGTTCTTGTCGAGTTTCTTTCACAGTCCTATGTTAATAAAGAAGGAAACTGGAGAACCCAAAGAAACTGCAAATTTTGTTGGGTCTAGGTAGTAGGCAGCTATCAAACAGGGAGGTAATATCACCGGGGAAGATGTTGAAAGCATAATGTGTTGTCTAATGGTAGACCCTGCTGCCATATGGCATCACAAAAATTGTGACCAAGTCCCAGGTTGCTGATCTGACTTTCTGCCTCATTTACACACAATTGCAGGGTCTCATTTGTTTCTCTTACTATTAACAACACAACATACACATTTTTCACTCTTGATTTATTCTTTCACCTTTGTATTTGTTTATTAGTATTTTTATTATTTTTATGTTATTATAATTTTTATTTTATCTGTATTAATTATTATTATTATATTTTTGTCCCCCAGGCTCTGATGTGGGTCAGTGCCCTGGTGGGCTAATCCCTGTTAAAAGAAAAAAAGATAACACTTCCCAAAACCGACCCAGAAACTGAACCTGGGATGCAGTAATGAGAGACACACATGCCAATGCTGTACCACCAACACCAAAATTAACATTTATCCTAATATACCTATGGTTTACTGATTATAACTTACCACTAGATCCTCCTCCTCTTCTTCATCCTCTCCCTGAAAAAAGAAGAAGTCAAGTACAGTAATTTGGTCTGCTTTTTGCAACTCCATATTCTTTAAAAGTACAACAATGAAAATAAAAATAAAAAAAGGCTCCATTCATGAAAAAAATCTAGGAAATATTCTATATTGAAAACTTGTTTCTTACTCTTAAATACCATTAAAAAAGTTAAAGGAATTTAAATTTTCTCTGTTTTTCCAAATTCTTTTCATCCTGAACATAATTCTATGTTAACAAGTTGGTTCCTTGCAACTGCCATGGACAGACCATATTTACACTTAAAAAAATTACAGGAAAACAATAGTAGCAAGGTTGTAATGCTTCCAACTTTTTATTTATTTATTTTTTTTAATAATAGGGAGGCAAGAATTAAGTTTTCTAATATGTACCCATACATATTTTTTTTCTGTAAAGTTGCTCCTTCACTCAGGGTTCTATTGTTACTAATCTGAAAAGTTATATTACAGTACATAAAATGTATTCCTCATACACTTTGTAATTTTCACATGGCAAGAAAGCTTTCATCATCTATGGAGAAATTATGTCAGGTTGCTACTATAACAAGACCACTCGTCACGTATCGGTAAATTTTTACTTTAGGACAGGAATCCCTAGGGGTCGACCAATATGTTTTTCCAGCGTATTTTGGTGTGTTTTAAACAAATCTGACCTTCATTTCTGGCGAAAATTGCTAGTTTTTGCCCCCCCCCTAACACACACACACAAAAAAACAGGGAAGATCCTGGGAAATTGGAGTTTTTGGGTGGGGGAGAAAACGAAAATGAGTCATCAGACCTAACAAAACCTAACCTAACTACTAGCTGGGGGCAGCCACCCAGTAGGCCTAGCTTAAATTAACCTACCGGTAAATGTTTCAATACTTAAAAAATTTGGGGCATGCCATGTCTGAAAGTACAATACCTTAGTTAGAAGTGGAAGGACCAAGGATACATAAGAATTGGATAGAATAATCAAATTTCTCGTAAAACTCTGAAATAAACTTAAAATAATTGTAGGAGCACAAACGACAACCAACCTCCACCACGGCCATTGTAAAACTGGTCAATGAAATTAAAATCATACCCAGGCTGCTTCCTTTGAGAAAAATGGTCGAAAAAAAAATTTGCGTGAACTGATATCGATACCTCATTGGTCACGACTGGATGACGTCAGTCAACATTGTGCCTGCGTGATGCGCCGATAACTTACAGATGAAGACAGAAAACTACTTAAAATTAATTAAATTCAATTGTGTAACTATTCTCCATTTCTGCCATGTATACGTGGGGTTCAAAATGCTCAGAATAATGAGATCTAAACGTTTCAGTAGTTTACAACTTTCGGGGCACTATGTCCGAAAGGCAAATAATACCCAAATATCTATGACCCTAATCAAGGAAATGTGCAATAGGCTATTGCCTCCAATTCCTCCACAACTTTTGTGAACGAAAACAAACTCAATGTTAAAAAAAAATTAAACAAAACTAACCAATGGTTGCTAACTATACCATAGTAAGCATTTCTATAAATTCTGAGTTTAGAGATTGTGCTATCAATTCACTCAAGGTACAGGAGCCACTGATCCATGTGCCGTTTCCTCGGTAAATTAAAATTCCTTTCCCTTGATCCCCCACCGGATCTGCATTATAATGTGTACATTAGAGATGTTTTCTTTTGTGAGAAATAATTGTACAACTGCAACTCAGCCACCAAAGCTCCTGAAATTTCTCCCAAACAAGACCATATACCTGGTGGCATGACTGTGAATTTCTATAATTGATCTTTTTATATTAGTACACCGTTCTATTTAACCGAACTTGATCGGGACCCCCCCCCACCCCCGGTCTAGATTAGGTTAGGGTTTTTTTAAATACATTTCTAATAACCAAAGAAAGAACGGTGCACTACTATAAATAGACCTTATCATTTATCCGAGATAAGGTAAACAGTGATCAGCTGGCTGTGCAAATGATGCATTGTAATGGCCATCTCTTGGCACCGGTAGCCATTCACTCCCACAGTACCGCTTATTACTGATTATGATCTCCATCCGCCTCCTCTCTCTACCAGGATCAATAAGAACGTGAGCAGTTACTTCTTCTGGATCGTCGTTGTGGATAGTGAAGTCGTCGATGGCCATGGTGATGCAGGTAAATGAAAGCAGCGAAATCGTCGAGAGGTTGCTGTGCTGGAGTACAGCAGCTATTAGGGAACTCGGAATTCAGGAAGGTCAGACACACCAGAGATTTAAAGGTAATATAAATATGGCAACGATATAGTGTAACCTTTAGCATGTAGATGGCACTGTTAACCCATTCACCTCGGTGCTTCTTTCAAAGTTTTACTTCATTCTCATTTACAGTATATTAGATGAGACATGTGCATTGAACTTCAATTTTTTAATAAACCTATTTTCAACTCTTGTTGAGTAAGGCGACGCAGTAAAGAAGATAAATCGTTTCAAACAGGCACGCTATGCGCTGACATTAGAAAAAGCGGATTTCCTCTGATAAACACATCACGTCCTGCACATCTACTGTGCTGTACCAGTACATATCAACACATATACACATATATGTGTGTTTGCACCTTCAGCACTCACGTTGTTAAGCTCATCAACGCATTGTATTGACTATGTAAGCTTCTAGACGGCATCAAACATCACATTTAGTAATCACGTGAGTTCAAAGTCTTCCTCAATATCATCTTCCTTGACGACCACTCTGCCCTCTGCTGGCAGTAATGCTGTACTCCTTGACTCGGCTCGCCCAAGGGGCTGCAGCGGGATACTCAAAAGTAATAAAATGTTATGACCTGCAGAGTGATTGCAAGTGATATGAGACCAACGGCCGTTTGTTAAAAATTAAATTTGGCTCCCAGGCTTCACCTTTCCTCGCTGATCGGAAAACAGTTGGTATGCTATATGACAAAACTTTTATTTTATTTTATTTTTTAGGTAGTTGTGGTCATGGCTGTAGTGAAGGTCAACCAGGGAGTGTAGTACTGTACTTTTAGTTAAATCAGTTCATAGTGTCATCAGTGACCACGGAAGAGGTTGTAAATAACTTAAAGTGAATACAAACTGACAAGCAGGCTGGTAAGACACTGTAGGGGTATCGAGGTATTAAAGTTGTCTAGCACTCAGGATGGAAGGAAACTCTAATGTGGTTTTCTTGTATAATATATAAGTTATATGAAGACAGTCTGGTGCTGGAGGTGTTGCCTGTTCAGGAAGTTGGGCAGAATGAGAGTTGGTTGGTGAGGAAGCTCAGAGGACAGCTGGTGGGTCGCCATGCTCGCTGGCGGGAGCGAGGACCGCCAGGCAGGCGGAGGAGAGGCGAGGGTCGCCAGGCAGCGGCAGAGGAGGAGGTGTTGCTTGTTCAAGAAGATTGGTCAGACTGAATCTCAAGGGAGAGACAGAGCTTATATACACCCAGCAGCGGCCGCCAGTCCTCTATGAGTCATGTTGGGAAAACCCGAGAAGTAGCCGGTGAATAGTTTCGTTGCTAAGATACGGTAACATCTGGTTGGTTGCTAGGGAAGGCGGCACATTGGAATGCGATAGCAGGTGGTGAGCTGCTACGCAGTTGTAGGCAGTTGTAGGGGAGAAGTCCACTACACTACTCTCTGTTGCCTATGGAGTTGTCGTCTGCGACTGCGTACACTGTATCTCCCTGTGAATGGTGTATTGTAGGCACAGTTTCAGTCCTTGAGAAAGCACACAATCAACATAAAATTTAAAGTCTCTGTGGCACCTATGACACGACTTGGTTTCAGCTGGCACGGTGCCTTTCCAGCTTGCTTGCTAGTGAGCGCTCACTTTAAGTTATTTACAACTTCAGCGGTCACTGATGACACTATGAACTATCACTGTGTACACTGTATCTCCCTGTGAGTGGTGTATTATAAACACAGATTCAGTCCTTGAGCAAGCACACAAACAAAATAAAATTTAAAGTCTCTGTGGCACCTATGACACGTATAGGCTGGCAGTTGTCCTTACCAGCTCGATTGCCAATATGTATTCACTTTAAGTTATTATAGTCTCTTCTGCATTCACTGATGACAACTATGAACTGATTTAACTGAAGGCACAGTACTACACTCCCTGGTTGGCCTTTATCACAGCCGTGACCACAACACCCTAAAAAATAAAATAAAATAAAAGCTTTGTCATGTGGCAGTGATTGTGTGGTTATAGGCCTGTGACCCTGGCTGCACCTCCAACTCGGTGGAAATTGAGTTTTCAAAAATACAATCGTGTCTAGCATGAAAAGTCCGACATCGATATACACTTTCACCTCACTAAGACGATCTTGACGAATCACTGTCCAATTTCTGCCGCTCTACATCGAAGGCCCGGATGCCGAACACGCTTTGTTACAGAGACGCAACACGACCCGCCCGCCCGCCCTAACAACGTTTTTCCTGTTCCTACTATCATGAACATTGTTCTCACACATGCTCTTCATTCTCGTCTATACAGTAATGTTGATTCAATAATTATCGTTGTACATCTCAATTATTGCCATTTTTATATGGAACTCTGCATACATTTAAATATTCCCACAATGTTCCTCTAAATGCTCAGACCAAATATAACTTTCTCAAAATAAGTACAGTAAAGTATCACAATAGATCAACATTAATGTAAAAGGATATCCATGAAATAGAAACATATTTTTTTATTCTATCTTAATGCAAACACATTCTATTATACATTAATGTACAGATTAAATAAATTATAAACTTTTGTTATTTTTGTTTTAGGTGCGTGAGGCCAAGAGTGCCAAGCCTCGTACCTAGTGAAGCAAACATGGCGGACTTGGAGTGTAAACAACGATTTGACAGTCCAGGAAACAACTGGCTGAGCCCTTGGTAACACATTTAATAACAATATTATATCAGATATATAATAATTATAATGCCAAGTGCTTATTATATATAATATTGTGGCGAGATAAAACGAATTTAATGGTTAATTTAGTAGATTATGTTGGGTCGTCGTCAACACAGGTGTGGGGTCATCAAGCACAGGTAGTGGAGTCGTCAAGCACAGGTGGACATACTGTATCGTGTTATTTATTATCCTCTATAACAAAAGTCATGATAACTAACCATATTTCTGTTGTTTATTACACAAGAAAAAGATTCCTAGGTGAATTTTTACTTTCTGACAAAAGGAAGGTTAATCCATTGACTGTCCGCAGGCCATTGTAGTGGCTACTCTCGTCGTCGTCAACACAGGTGTAATGAGGTCATCAGCTAAGGGCATTGGTCATCCAGCTTTAAATGGACATTTGCATACATATCAGTGTTATTATCCTCTGGCAAAGTCAAATATTATGTATTTTATATTTGTTTATTACACAAAAAAAAGATTCCTAAGTGATTTTACTTTTCTGATAGCAAAAAGGAAGGTTAATCAAACCATTTGTGCAGACATGCACCTGAGGGTTCATACTCCTCATAAAACATTTTCTTTATTTCCTATAGTTTAGGTTAAGTTTGAGATTTGAGTTTGGCTTTTTTGGTAGAAATAAGTTTCTTTTTATGTACTTTTTGGTGTTTGACTCGGTCAGCCTTCATTTTTATTGCATATATAAGCCACTATGTCATATACGGTACTGGTTATACCAAAGGTGCCTCTCTTGTTAGGTAAATAGAAGATCCTTCAGGGGAGTTCATACCTGGACTATTTCTGTGTCCCAGTATCATTCGGTGGCAATAATGAGGCTATAGCCCAACATCAATTAAAATAACCAGCAACTGATTTATTTACATCACCACAAACTGAACCTGCATTCACTGAATCCAGCTATGAGCGATCGTGGTAACAGTAATACTGAGAGAGCTTCGGTGCGTATGTTGATTGATTCTTTTTACTGCTGTTTAGGGCATTCATTTAATTTCATTTTTTTATCTTTGGTAGACCTTGTAGAGATGAAGCTGTTGTTTGAGATCTTATTATTGCCGGCTGTTCAATGTGGACGGCTATTGACCTCGAGCATATCCATGCTAAACTTTGGTGCTGGTACTTGACAGTTACGACATCTTCCTATAAGTACTTTGCTCGGTGGAGCAACTAAAAGCTTTGGTTGATGATGTTTGCTGGGATGCAGCTGTTTGCCACAGCAGCGTTCCATGCCAACAGGTAGCGATATCAAAGCCATGCCCTGAAAGGGTGAGGATAATTAATGTTTTTTTGTTTGCTGATCACAGTTTTTGATGTGATATTTATTAATCTATTATTTTGCGATATTTGACATGTTGTGTCTGATGTATTGTTTATTTGTTTGTGTTGAGCAACTGTCGTAGTAAGTAGGCTGTAATTAACGGACATTAAGGGGTCCCTACTAAGTATTCTTCTTTTTATCATTCTATCTACATGACTATGTCAGTGACATTTTGTCGTTAGATCCTTCATGAAATTTGTTTCCATATTCTTTTCCTTTAATCAGGTAGGGACCTGTGCATTTAGAAGGCAAAAATTTTTTGATGTACCGTTCGGTGCTTTTGTCGTTACTGCGTCTCTATTTTTTGGAGATTCTGAGCTTGAGTTTTTATGTTGTTAGCACAGATCATTTAACACGTGAGGCTGTTAAATGCTTTTGTACTTTTTCATGAATAACAATGAAAACATTGATTTGCTTCTTGGCATGGTCATCCATGTTGCATACAGGTTGTGGGGTTCCTGCTAGTTGATCATAGAAACAAGCATCTATTATGGCACCATAAATTATGTAGTATGGCGCTATTTTCCTGAAAAGCTATTGATAGATCATTGATGGATTCTGCTACTTGTGAAGCCAGTCCTTCCAGGAACTGTGCATCGGATTCAC